CTTTTTTCCATTTGTACATATTCACGTGTTCTCTACAACTCGAACAGTAAGACAATATATGTAACTTCCTCTGTTTCCTTTCAATGCATTCCGAACTTATTGTTTCATGTAGAGGAATTGTCTTGCAAATTGACTCTGGCATGGATTCCAAGCAAGGAAAAAAGACGAAAATTAACAAGAAATAGCAGAACTAGCACGCCGACAAACGCTTTCTACAAGACCGCACTGGTGTTTAGCCCTACCAGGGAGGCATAAATACCACCCTTGATACTGATCAAAGTTTCATGATTTCCTTTTTCTGCAATGACTCCATTTCTAACCACTGCTATTAAGTCGGCATCCTNTAAACCCTAAACCCTAAACCCTAAACCCAAAACCCTAAACCCAAAACCCTAAACCCAAAACCCTAAAACCCTAAACTCTAAACCCTAAAACCCTAAACCCTTTTTTTTTTTAAAAAAAAAAAAAATCGGAGCACTTTTATTCCATCACCAAAATTTTTACAAACCAAGAAAAAACAGACATTCCTGTTTTTTTACAGATTGAATATATCAAGCTATACAATGAGATTTAAGAAAAAACATTTTTCTTTCTTAAAGTTCTATGCATTTGTTTATCAGGCAGCAACAGCCTTCTAGCAACATGAGGAATGTCCATATCAGCAAAAAATTCCAACGAAGATCCACATTGCACTGCCCAGTTTGCAAAGAAGTCGGCTGCCGAATTTCCTTCTCTATAGACATGTATCAATTGAAAATTTAATCTCCCCAAAATCTCCTTTATTTGCTGCAGTAGTGCCCAATATTTCCAAGCACGTAAATGCCCCTTCAATATCATGTTAACCATAATTTCAAAATCAGCTTCCACTTGAATTATGTAACCCTGCAAATCATGTTTCTCAACAAGACATATACCATCTTTCAATGCCCTTAATTCTGCCTCCATATTAGAACAATTTCCATAAAAGAAAGACCCTGCAACTACCAAATCACCCCACTGATTTCGAATCACAGCACCACCTCCTGCACGTCCCGGATTCCCTTTCGAGGCCCCATCCACATTTAACTTCAAACACCTTTCCATTGGACAGGACCAATTGACCCACATCGTTTTTATTTGAATTTTTCCACCATTGATAACCCCCAAATCCTGCAAAAGTTTTCCCCCATGTATGCTGTCAGGAACTTTTGGCCGAATACCGAAAGCTTGTAGCTTGATAACAGTTCAAGTTTTCTGAAAAATAGAAAGGGCAGACTGACTGCCTTCCCCTTAAACCCTTCTACATCTCTCCCTCCATAATAACCAAAGAACAACCAAAGCCACACTCCTGATTAGGATATGGCTAAGAGACTGTTTTTTAAAGATTCTTATTAATCTCATTAATCTTCCCATAGGACCTTCATTCTCAATCAAAGTGAATCCAAAAAAACCAGCCAGATAATTCCATACCTTCACAGCAAAGTCACCGCGTATAAACATATGGGCTCCAGATTCCATTGCTTTATAACATAGCGAACATCTACTCGCTAATTTCACCCCTATCCTCTGAAAACGAACATCCAAAGCCACTGCATCTTTTCTAATCTTCCAGCAAAACAACATAGCACTAGGAGGAGCAGCCTGATCCCATATTGATTTAGCCACTACATCTTCATTCACAACATTCCTTACCACTTGCCAAGCTGATTTAACTGAAAATTTCCCAGAATCATTCAATTTCCATACCAGTAAATCAGACCTTTTAGACAATACAATTCTTGAATTTAGTATCTCCTCTTTCATACTATCATCCACTAGACCTCCCAACTTCTGCCACTGCCAAACTCCATCTGAATAGACCTCTGCAACTCGCGGGAAATGCTGAGGCATAGTGCCCAATCTGTCTAACAACGGCCCAGCATTAAGCCAATTAGAACACCAAAAATCCACTAATTCCCNAGAGTGCCCAATCTGTTTAACAACGGCCTAGCATTAAGCCAATTAGAACACCAAAAATCCACTAGTTCCCCATTTCCAACAATAAAACAAGAATGAGAAACCACAGATGAAAACCATGGTTTCAACATTCTAAAAATTTTCGCTTTTCCTTGCCCCAAATGCCTCAACACATGCTGATTCTTCAAAAATCTTGCACAGAAAACCTTAGCCCACAAGGATTTTCCCTGCAAAATACTCCAGACCTGCTTCATTCGAAATGCAGCTTGAACATCTTCAAATCTTCGAATTCCCAAGCCACCCTCCTGCTTTGGTCTTGTTATATCATTCCAAGAAACCAAGTGTCTCTTTCTAACTCCCTCTTTACCCGACCAAACAAAAGATGCCATCAAGGAATTTATTCTATTTAAGATACCTTTAGGCAAATTTAAACAAGACAGCAGGTGCACTGGTACCGCATTTAAAACATTTTGTACCAAAACCACTATTCCCATATTAGACAGCAATTTCGCATACCATCCTTCCAGCTTCGCTTTAAATTTAAGAACAAGATCTTCATAATCTCTAATTCTGCTCCTTCCCTTAATCATAGGACAACCCAAGTACGTAAAAGGGCATTCTTTTATAGGAATCTGAGCAACTCTTGATAAAATCACTTTTCTTGCCTGGGAAATCTTTGCAGAACAAAACATAGAACTTTTCGGCCTGCTAATCCTCTGCCCCGAACAATCTTCATACTTGCTCAAGAAAGAAAACAAAATCTCCATCGAAGTTTTATTTCCTTTTAAGAATAGCAGCGTATCATCAGCAAATAGCAAATGCGAAACCATTAAAGCTCCTCTTCCTATATGAAAGGACTTAATCTTCCTTTCAATAAACAACTTCGACAACCCCCTACTTAATACCTCCTCTGCCAGAATAAAAAGCAACGGGGATAATGGATCCCCTTGCCTCAATCCCCATGATGTGGGAAAAAAGCCTTTTCTCTGACCATTTAGACAAACTGAAATGAATTGATTATTCAAACAATTTCCAATAATGGACACAAACATATCAGAAAAACCAAACTACCTCAAGGTTTGTTTCAGAAAATCCCACTCAATACGATCGTAAGCCTTCATCATGTCCAATTTGACAATTACATTCCCTGCCTCTACTTTTCTATCCAGTTCAGAAACCATGTACTGCGCCAGTGAGATACATTCCCCTATACTTCGTCCTTTCACAAAACCATGTTGACCATCCGATACCAAAGAAGGCAAAAGAACAGCTAGTCTATTAGTAAGCAATTTTGTAAATATCTTATACAAAAAATTGCATAAACTAATAGGTCTGAACTCTGCAAAGCTTGTTGGATTTAATTTCTTCGGAATCAATGCCAACAACGTGGCATTCACCGACCTTGGCACTACTCCACCTTTTAGAAAAAAATTTGCAGCTGTTAACAAATCTACCTTAATCACTTCCCAAGCAGCCTGAAAAAACTTCCCTGAGAAACCATCAGCACCTGGTGCACTTTCCACTGCCATTGAAAACACCACACCCTTCAATTCTTCCATAGAAGCAAGACTAGTAAGCGACTCATTATCTGCATCACTTACAAGATTCGGAATTACCTCAAACANCTTCAATTCTTCCATAGAAGCAAGACTAGTAAGCGACTCATTATCTGCATCACTTACAAGAGTCGGAATTACCTCAAACAAAACATCATCCAGTTCATGAACGTCAGCTTTGTATAAAGACGTAAAGTAAGACACTGCTTGTTCAGCAATTTCATCCTCAGAGCAAGCCCATCTCTCATCCTCACATTTAATTCTTTTTATTCTGTTTCTGACTGCCTTCTCTTTCGCTATAGCATGATAAAACTTCGTATTTCTTTCTCCTTCTAAGGCCCATTTTACATTTGCTTTTTGCCTCCAAAATATTTCTTCCAACCTCAAAGTATCATCCAAACTCTTTCTTGCTTTTTCCAGTTTCAAAAGACTGTCCTCTGAGTAGTCAGATTCCAGTGTTCTTTCAGCATTACACACTTCCAACTCCTGCAACTTAATTTTTTCAAAAATATTCCCAAAACCTTCTTTATTCCAACTCCTCAAACGAACTTTAAGAAATTTTAGCTTTAGAAAGAAATCCTCAATAGGATTACTAGAAAAACATCCACGCCACGCGTCCACAACTAGAGGCAAAAAGGAGACTTCCTCAGTCCACATATCCAAAAATTTAAAATAAGAAATTCTATGATGCCCTTCTTCTTCCATGATCTTTACCAATAAAGGACAGTGATCTGAGCTTCCTCTTGCTAAATGTACCACATGAGAGTTATCAAACCTGGCAGACCAAACAGGATTTAAAAAAACCCTATCCAAACGCTGCCACATTTTTGTTCCCACATGATGATTGTTACACCAAGTGTAGCTACTACCCTCAAAACCACAATCCACCAGCCCAGCCGATTGTATACATTCACCAAACTCCTCCATCGCAACAACAGAAGGATAAGCACCCCCCAATCTCTCCGCAGAATTCAATACCGTGTTAAAATCTCCCATTAGTAACCAAGGCAAAGAAAAGGAAGAAGAAATCACTTGTATGTGTTGCCATAAAGGTCTCCTCAACAAATAATCGCAACAAGCATACACAACTGTCAAAATAAATGGGTCTGAATCCAAGAACCTAACCGAAACAGTAAGAGCCTGCTCATGCTCCATAATCACTTGTACATCCACACCCTTCTTCCAAAACAACCATATGTTCTTCTCAGCTTGAGTATTTGCAACAAAGAAACGCAAACCCACTGAAACAGAAAAAGATCTCATCCTTACTGACAACATCTTTGGTTCTAACACAGCCAAAAGACCAACATTATTCATCACCACAAGCTTTTTTAGTCTGGTTCTCATACTTTCATTTCCTGCCCCTCTCACATTCCACATTATAAAATTCATAACAAAGACATGTGTTCGGGATTAACCTCAAGACTCTGCCTTAATTCCAAATCATGGACCTCATCATCATCAGAAAATCTTTCCGATAAATCCGCCCAAGTCTTCGAACTATCTTGATCAGATAAAAACCCTTTTCTCAAGTAGCTCTTTACCTTTTACCAAACCATCATTATCATCCTGAGATACTTGCAGCAACTGTCTAACATCATAATGTCTATCCACAAAAAAAGAAGAATCTGAGGATAGAGATGCTTGCTTGTTTAAACAACACACGATCTCACCTATTCCCTCCCCTATCTCCTTTTCTCTCATCTTCCCACTTTTTCCTCCCTCATTTCCAGTAAAAGAAGAAGACTTCTCGTTTACATGAAAAGAGATTTCTCTTTCAACTAACAATACACAATCATCCCTACTCCCCTTCCCCATTATCGTAACTGATACCTCTCCTTCTACCCCCTGACATTCAGGTAAATCTGGATCTCTAATCTCCTCACAAGAGTCAAACTCTTGCACCCCCCTCACAACTAAAGAAGCATTTACTGTATCTTCCCCTGATTTTGACATTCTCATCTGCATTTTAGAACCTTGATCAACTTCAATAGCAACATTCATTGTTGTAATCCGATCATTCAATTTATCCACCCCTTCAATTTCCACATTTCCTCTACCAGAAACATCTGAGGTTTCCTCTTCTACTTCATGCGAACAACTTTTTTCCCTAGTTTGTACAGCTGGCTCAATAAGATGTTCTCCATTTTCCACAACATGACTCTGTTCATCCAAAGCCAGAGCACTAAATCTATTTCCATTCTCTGGCTTATGAACAACCTCCTTTCTTTTATAAACTTGTTTCTGATTTCCTCCTGGCATAATCTGTACAATTCCTTTCCTTTTATCAGCAATATTAGTCACCACATGATCCACTCCATTCTGAATGTTGACCTCTTTTTGCAGGTTTACCTCCACATTCTGCCCACTCCCTTTCTCCTCATCCCCTTTTACAATCCTCTTCTTCCAACAAGTATTTCCATCATGCCCCTGTTTTAAACAATCAGCACAATACCTACAATCCTTCTCATATACTATTATTTGCCATCTACCACTATTCCCCCCCATATCAAGCCAGAATCTTCTAGGATTAGGCTCCAACAAGTTAACTTCAACACACACCCTCGCCACTCCTGGCCTAGTCAGCTGCAGAGTCGAATTATCAAACACCAATATTTTCCCAATTGGACTCAAAATATCTCAAAGACTCTCTCTATTAAAGAGATGAACAGGAAGCCCAGGCAACGATACCCACATTGGAACAATTGGAGGTTCAATTCCTGGAAGAAATTCCGGGAACCATTTAAAAAATCTGAACAAAAAACCTTCTATATATGTAGCATCTTTCAGCCATGTCTTCACATAATCCTCCAGAAGACTAAAACGAATAAGTATGTGTCTAGGATCTAAAATACCTATCNAAGTAGCATCTTTCAGCCAAGTCTTCACATAGTCCTCCAGAAGACTAAAACGAATGAGTATGTGTCTACGATCTAAAATACCTATTGAGAATTCACCCTTGGGAAGCCACTTTGTAGCAATAAACTCTCTAATTACCCCTAGTGAAGGTTTGCCATATGCACATTTCCCAATTAGAGTTTGACTGAAACCCTTCGACAACTCTAAGGTTTCTTCAGAAGTCCAATACATTCCGGGTTCACCATTGTTGTAAACAACCCTCTTCGCTGGTTTGGGAATCCCAGCCGAAGTTAACAAACCATTCCCCAGAGATGAGTTACTAGAATCAGCCGAAGGAACATTCACGATCGAAGATTGTCGTGGAACAGAGAAATGAGGATCTGTAGAAGTTTGAGGAACCAGAGAGTTCTGAATCGAGAAAGGATACTGAATCCCTGATGAATCTTGGCCGAAAAAGTTTATTAGAGGAAGAGAAGAAGATCGAGAAATCGGCGGGTTTGATGATCTGTGAGAAACATCGGGTTCTTGAGAAATTTGGGGAAAAAGAATAGATTGAGATACCAGAGGTAAAGTCGGAGGTACAGAAGACCGATTACACATGAACCATGCTGAAGACAAAAGGTTTTTTCCAGAATTTTTATCAAAACGAGAAGACTCCACGTTCCCAATGTTCGCGGAGACCGAGGGTTCCTTGAAAAGAGAAGCAAAGTTTTTCTGGATATCCGGGGGTTTTGGAGGAATTGGATGCTGGATTGCACCCGATTCCACGTAGAAAAAACCAAAGAATTATCAAAAAAAACTAGATCTGACGCAGGAATCAAGAAAGTGAATTAAAATCAGAAAATCAATGGAAAAATTTTAGAGACAAGTGAGAGTTTCTCTCTCTAGAATTCTAAAGCCTCCTAAACCTCCTCCCTCAACCCTAAACCCTAAACCCTAAACCCTAAACCCTAAAACCCAAACCCCAAACCCCAAACCCCAAACCCTAAACCCTAAACCCTAAATCTGAAACCCTAAATCCTAAACCCTAAACCCTAAACCCTAAACCCTAATCCCTAAACCCTTAAACCCTAAACCCTAAACCCTAAACCTCGGGATCTCGATGTTGATCTCTAACAGGATAAGGTGAACATGGATACTAAAATTAATTTATGTTCCCATTGAACTCTCCAATAATTTCAATCCATATACACCTTATTCTGTTAGATTTAGTAATTATCGTGGGATTTACTTGTTCATTTTCCTATTATGGGGTGTGGGATGGTATCACCATTGTATTGAATATATATATTTTTTCACTTATTTCAGTAGCCGTACACTTACCCTGATTGCAGTATTCAAGTGGTCTGTATTGTTGAAAACAAAATTCTGGGTGATGTTTTGTTTTTGTTGTTCATTGGAATTCCGGATTAAGCTTGATCTTTGTTGGAATTTTTAGGAACTCAGATCATGTTCTATGCTTTTAGAATGCTCATTTTGTTGTGAGTTCCAACCTGATCTATGTCCAGAGCTCATGATTTTGGGTTGAGCATGTTCATTACTTTATATGTTATGCCTAGATCTGTGATTAAGCTTGTTGATGCTTCATTGGCTTTGGAGGATATTCTTTATGTTATTCATATTCTGACTATCATCCTTATTTTTTGCGGTGCTACTCAAAAAAGTCCACTCAAGCTTTGATTCTCCAGCAGCTTGTGTCTAAAGGTGATAACAGTAAAAGTTTTAAAGCTTTCTGTGTAATGTGCCTGTGTAATGTGTGCATCTTGCAATCGGAATTTATTTTCAAGATTATATGTAACTAAAAGCTTTTTGTTTTAGTCCTAAAATAGATTGTCATGCCCCAAACTAAATCAACTCTAACTTTCTGTTCATTACCTGAAACTTCCACTGTGTACACTCTAACTTGATGTGTCGATCACCTGAAGCTTTCTGTTCATTACATTTTTGAATGTTCATTACGTTTCTAATTTCTGGAATCTCATTAAGTTTCTAATTTTTCTAATTGTCCAGAAAAATGAAGGATACATCATGTACTCAACCGACTGCTTATGTCAATATTGAGCTTGACAATACATTCAATGCTGCCCCAGATACAGAAAGTGGAGATAATAAGAATGATGAAAAGTGGTAACGTACTTCCACATCAAAGGTATAGGGGTATTTTAGAAAGTATGTAAATCAAGATAATGTTACAAAGGCACAATGCAACAAATGTAAGATTGAGTATAATGCTACTAGTAAGTATGGAACTGGTAATTTGTGGCGTCATTTAGAGACTTGTTTGAAACAATGTGATGTGAGCCAGTTAATTTTAAGTCAAAGTCAAGGATTTATTACTGCACAGTCTTTGAAGGTTAACAAGGAAAAAGTTTGAGAGATGTTAATACGTGCAGTAATTAAACATGATTTGCTCTTTCAGTTTGTTGAGTATGAATATGTGAGACAAATCTTTAGCTACTTAAATCCAGATGTCAAATTTATTACAAGAAACACGGCTAAGGCTGATATTCTAAAATTGCATGCAAAAGAGATGCGTAGGTTGTCTGTTATCTTGCATGACATACCTGGTAGGATTAGTTTGACTTCTGATTTGTGGACATCTATTGCTACCGATGGGTATTTAAGTCTCACAGCACATTTCATCGACAAAGATTGGGTATTGCAAAAAAGAATTCTGAATTTTTCTTACATGCCTCCTCCACCCAGTGGCATTGCACTGGCTAACAAGATTTATGATTTGTTGACAAAATGGGGGGTTGAGAAAAAGTTATTTTCAATTACTTTGGATAATGCTTCTGCAAATGATGTCATGGTTGATATGCTTAAGAATCAACTTAATTTCATAGATGCTTTGCTTGGTGTTAGTGGGTTTTTTCATATTCATTGTTGTGCTCATATTCTAAACTTGATTGTGCAAGAGGGGTTGAAAGAAATAGATTTAGCTATGAAAAAAGTCAGAGAGAGTGTCAAGTATGTAAAAGGTTCTCAGGCAAGAAAACAAAAATTCTTAGAGGGTGTTGCACAAACATCTTTAGATAGCAAAAAAAGTTTGAGGCAAGATGTTCCTACTAGATAGAACTCAACATATTTGATGCTTGCAAGTGCAATTTACTACCGTCGTGCCTTTTGTCATTTGCAACTTGTGGATTCTAATTTTAAGCATTGCCCATCTCAAGAGGAATGGATCAAAGTTAAAAAGATTCAGATGTTTTTAAAAAATTTCTATGACACTACTGTTATTTTTTCTGGCTCCAAGTACCCCACATCAAATTTGTACTTTCAACAAGTTTTCAGTATTCAATTGACATTGAATAAAGAAATGCAAAGTTTGAATACTTTTATGAGAAGAATGTCTTGTCGNTATGTTATGCCTAGATCTGTGATTAAGCTTGTTGATGCTTCATTGGCTTTGGAGGATATTCTTTATGTTATTCATATTCTGACTATCATCCTTATTTTTTGCGGTGCTACTCAAAAAAGTCCACTCAAGCTTTGATTCTCCAGCAGCTTGTGTCTAAAGGTGATAACAGTAAAAGTTTTAAAGCTTTCTGTGTAATGTGCCTGTGTAATGTGTGCATCTTGCAATCGGAATTTATTTTCAAGATTATATGTAACTANGTTATAAGAAGCTTTATGGTGAAGGCTCTCTTGAGTATTTTCATGTTCGAGACAAAATTTTTTCTCTATTTGATGAGTATATGAGCAAATCTGTTGTCACCTCTTCTTCTCAATCATCGACTGTTCCCCGTGGTGGTGTAGTTGCTTGTNTTTGTTTTAGTCCTAAAATAGATTGTCATGCCCCAAACTAAATCAACTCTAACTTTCTGTTCATTACCTGAAACTTCCACTGTGTACACTCTAACTTGATGTGTCGATCACCTGAAGCTTTCTGTTCATTACATTTTTGAATGTTCATTACGTTTCTAATTTCTGGAATCTCATTACGTTTCTAATTTTTCTAATTGTCCAGAAAAATGAAGGATACATCATGTACTCAACCGACTGCTTATGTCAATATTGAGCTTGACAATACATTCAATGCTGCCCCAGATACAGAAAGTGGAGATAATAAGAATGATGAAAAGTGGTAACGTACTTCCACATCAAAGGTATAGGGGTATTTTAGAAAGTATGTAAATCAAGATAATGTTACAAAGGCACAATGCAACAAATGTAAGATTGAGTATAATGCTACTAGTAAGTATGGAACTGGTAATTTGTGGCGTCATTTAGAGACTTGTTTGAAACAATGTGATGTGAGCCAGTTAATTTTAAGTCAAAGTCAAGGATTTATTACTGCACAGTCTTTGAAGGTTAACAAGGAAAAAGTTTGAGAGATGTTAATACGTGCAGTAATTAAACATGATTTGCTCTTTCAGTTCGTTGAGTATGAATATGTGAGACAAATCTTTAGCTACTTAAATCCAGATGTCAAATTTATTACAAGAAACACGGCTAAGGCTGATATTCTAAAATTGCATGCAAAAGAGATGCGTAGGTTGTCTGTTATCTTGCATGACATACCTGGTAGGATTAGTTTGACTTCTGATTTGTGGACATCTATTGCTACCGATGGGTATTTAAGTCTCACAGCACATTTCATCGACAAAGATTGGGTATTGCAAAAAAGAATTCTGAATTTTTCTTACATGCCTCCTCCACCCAGTGGCATTGCACTGGCTAACAAGATTTATGATTTGTTGACAAAATGGGGGGTTGAGAAAAAGTTATTTTCAATTACTTTGGATAATGCTTCTGCAAATGATGTCATGGTTGATATGCTTAAGAATCAACTTAATTTCATAGATGCTTTGCTTGGTGTTAGTGGGTTTTTTCATATTCATTGTTGTGCTCATATTCTAAACTTGATTGTGCAAGAGGGGTTGAAAGAAATAGATTTAGCTATGAAAAAAGTCAGAGAGAGTGTCAAGTATGTAAAAGGTTCTCAGACAAGAAAACAAAAATTCTTAGAGGGTGTTGCACAAACATCTTTAGATAGCAAAAAAAGTTTGAGGCAAGATGTTCCTACTAGATAGAACTCAACATATTTGATGCTTGCAAGTGCAATTTACTACCGTCGTGCCTTTTGTCATTTGCAACTTGTGGATTCTAATTTTAAGCATTGCCCATCTCAAGAGGAATGGATCAAAGTTAAAAAGATTCAGATGTTTTTAAAAAATTTCTATGACACTACTGTTATTTTTTCTGGCTCCAAGTACCCCACATCAAATTTGTACTTTCAACAAGTTTTCAGTATTCAATTGACATTGAATAAAGAAATGCAAAGTTTGAATACTTTTATGAGAAGAATGTCTTGTCGAATGTATGAAAAATTTGAGAAGTATTGGTTGGAGTATAGCGTGATATTGGCCATTGCAATTGTGTTTGATCCTCGCTATAAACTTGACTTTGTGGAGTGGTGTTATAAGAAGCTTTATGGTGAAGGCTCTCTTGAGTATTTTCATGTTCGAGACAAAATTTTTTCTCTATTTGATGAGTATATGAGCAAATCTGTTGTCACCTCTTCTTCTCAATCATCGACTGTTCCCCGTGGTGGTGTAGTTGCTTGTGAGCCAATCTTGAACACACAACCTGTGTTAGATTTGAAGGTATTTAATTTTTTGTTTTATAGTGTTTATTGTATTAGATTAATAATATTGATAGTCTATGATTTGAAAGTCTGTGATTTTGATAATGTAGGCATTTGTCATTGAGAGCAATGCATCTAGTCTTAAAACACAAAAAAGTCAATTGCAATTGTATTTGGATGAGCCTAGGGTTGACATAGAAATAGAACTTCTTGTTCTTGATTATTGGAGAGCTCATCAGTATCGTTATCCAGAACTTGCTATTATGGCTCATGTTGTGTTAACTATTCCAATTTCTACGGTTGCTTCAGAATCAACTTTTAGTATTGGTGGTCGGGTTCTTGACCAATACTGTAGTGCTTTGAAGCCTCATGTTGTGGAGGCTTTGATGTGCACTAAGGATTGGTTATATGCAGAAAAAATTAATAAATATAATTTGTGATAACTACGATATTTAATTATTTTTACAAATATTGAATTCTTATTTATATGCTTTCCTTNATGTGATGTGAGCCAGTTAATTTTAAGTCAAAGTCAAGGATTTATTACTGCACAGTCTTTGAAGGTTAACAAGGAAAAAGTTTGAGAGATGTTAATACGTGCAGTAATTAAACATGATTTGCTCTTTCAGTTTGTTGAGTATGAATATGTGAGACAAATCTTTAGCTACTTAAATCCAGATGTCAAATTTATTACAAGAAACANACTGTAATTGGAAGAGCTTATAGAAGATGTAATGAATCCGACTTTGAACAAAAATGAGGATGCATCGGTGCAATGTTCAAATGTGATTGTGGATCTTGATTGTTGATGTGTGTGAGTTATAAAACCTAACTCTTTTTCTCAATCTTATGCGTTTGTTTTTATTTTTGGTCATAACAACCATTCCATATTTATTGAAGTTAAAAGCTTAGTATGTTTCTTGGCAGGATGNCCCAGTGGCATTGCACTGGCTAACAAGATTTATGATTTGTTGACAAAATGGGGGGTTGAGAAAAAGTTATTTTCAATTACTTTGGATAATGCTTCTGCAAATGATGTCATGGTTGATATGCTTAAGAATCAACTTAATTTCATAGATGCTTTGCTTGGTGTTAGTGGGTTTTTTCATATTCATTGTTGTGCTCATATTCTAAACTTGATTGTGCAAGAGGGGTTGAAAGAAATAGATTTAGCTATGAAAAAAGTCAGAGAGAGTGTCAAGTATGTAAAAGGTTCTCAGGCAAGAAAACAAAAATTCTTAGAGGGTGTTGCACAAACATCTTTAGATAGCAAAAAAAGTTTGAGGCAAGATNTGTTTTTTGTTATGTTATGTCCGATTGGGTCATGTCGGTTGGGTCGTGTTAGGCGGGTTTGAGTCGTGTTTAC